TTTGCCAACATCTGTATCTCTAACCTCTAGAACTATAAGAGAATAAAATTCTGTTGTTGTAAGTCATGCAACTTGTGGTTCATTGGTATGGCAGCCCCAGGAAACTAATGCACAAGTATCTGAGTACAAGTGGTTTATTTTGAAGGGAGTCCAGGAACCACTGATTGCAGGATGGAGAAGTGGGACTGGGAAGAGAAGGACAGTAACAGAGTCGGCTGATAGGTAGGTTATCTCTGCAGGTAGAGCTCAGTCCTTTTGTGAACTTCCAGGAGAAAATGTAGCATGCACCTAAGAGTTATCCTACCGTTGAGGAAGACATTGGTATATTTATTATTATAGATAGAGGTGTATTAGTTTTCTATGGCTGCTGTAACAAATTACCACACACATGGGGGCTGAAAACAGCAAGCCAGAAATCCAAAATCATTATCACTGGAATAAAGCTGTCAGGAGGACCTTGTTTCCTCCAGAGGCTCTAGAGGAGAATCGGCCTTTTCTCCTCTCTGGTGGTTACTGGCATTTCTTGATTTCTGTCTAAATTGCAACAATCTCCGCTTCTGCGGTCCCATTGCCTCTTCCTTTACTGTCTGTGAAATTGCCCTCCCCCTAGCTCTTATAAGGACACATATGATCATATTTAGGCAACCCCTGGATAGTCCAGGATAATCTCTGCATCTCAAGATCCCTAATTACACCTTTGGCCATGTAAGGTAATAGTCACAGGTTTCAGGGATTAGGGTCTGATATCTCTGGAATACATTTTTCAGTCTACCATAATTGGCACAGTTGTCCTTCTACTTATATTGATTACTGGTTGAGGGTGAAAATTCCTTGGCACTCTGGCCTGCTCTGCAGGGGTTGAGAAAAAATCCTCAGGATGAAAGTTGCAAGCTCTCATCAAGGACTTTTTGGGGCATGTATGGAATGGGAAGTCCCGAGAGGATGTTGATGGGACACTAATAACATTGCTACATGACTATTATTTTTGTTTAGCTTGTTTTTTGTTAACAATTAATTTTAATTTAATAATCATAGTTATTACGACTGTTACTAGCTATTTTAATCTAACTTCCTAATGGACCACAATATAAATTTTTTGCACTATCTGTGTAATTATGCTTGAAAATACTATCCCACCTATTTGAACTTGATCCTTTCTACAAGGTTACATTTAAGCATATATTGCTCTGTCATTTCCACCAAAACACCTTTTCTTTACCTTTTTTTTTAGCACCTATGCAATCTCTTTTATTAATCTCCATTTGGTCATGTATAATGATCTTTCTCAACTGTATATTTTTCTTAAGTATATTTTAACAATGTCAAAGGTAGAGATCATGACATATATATTTTCGAATACTTAATGTTGTGATTTTGGAGATTTACATGTATAATCTGGAACCATTTAGTAATTTTTTATCAGGAAATATAAAGCATCTACTTTGAGCCTATTACCCATTTTTAGTTTCTTCAAGGTCCCTTTTTATAACTTCTATAAATTATCTTGTGGGGCTGGAACATCAGCAGCCTTATTGTGCCATGTCCACCTAGTGACAAGTTCAAACCAGTTCGTTTATAGAAAATGAAAGAACTGTAATATGTGAGTGGTCAAGAAGTCCCTGAATTGTTTCCAAAGATCTCTGGAGTATTGGGATTTTTAGCAGTGGGTCAATGAATGAAACAGTGTCGGGAGCCGACCAACAGCTGACCTTTGACACAGTCGGGTCGGGTGAGACACACAGCAGAAGCAGCTGTGGCCGGGTCTACTGTCTATCTCTTCCCGTATGCCTGTCCCTATTAACATCAGGTGGTGGGATTTTTGGACGCCTGTGCTTTACAGCAAGGGACCTTGCATGATGCCTCTGGTTCTGTGTGAAGTGACTTGCTGACCACTAACTGGGGGCCCCTGGTAGCCCTGGTGCTGCCCACTCCCCCCACCTGGAAAGTTAAGGATAGACTTAAACTATGGGCAGACTAGCTGCCAGAACGCTGGAGGAGGCCATTGCTAGGAATGTCTAGGGAGTCAGTATTCAAAAGGTCAAGATTTATTAGAACCACTGCCTTTCCCATGACCTGGGCAGGAGCGGTTATTGATGGGACCAGGTAGATAGAGAAGGAAGGAGTTTTAATTAAAATATAATAATCTCAGTACATGGAAACATAACATAGCCTGCCCCCCCCCCCCGCCAGATATGTAGTTAATAGACCTAGGCAAAAAATCATTTATCTAATTCAGATAATTTAATTCTATAAACAATAACCAATTTTTTAAAAGATTTTATCCATTTATTTTTAGAGAGGGAAGGGAAGGAGAAAGAGAGAGAGAGAGAAACATCAATGTGTGGTTGCTGGGGGCCATGGCCTGCAACCCAGGTATGTGGCCTGACAGGGAATTGAACCTGAGACACTTTGGTTCGCAGCCTGAGCTCGATCCACTGAGCTACACCAGCCAGGGCTTTAAACAATAACTAATTTTTAAATCACTTCTTGTACCCCTTTGATTTAGACCAATCTATAGAAACTTAGTAGATATTTAATTATAATCAGCATTTGAAAGTTTGTGCTCATATAGCTTCGTTGGCTGTCTGATTAATGACCCTCTTGGTCAAAATAACCTTTGTTTAATATGGTTGATCTGTGGGACTTCCTGTACTTTTCGGTTATTTCTTTAACATGATTGATTTGTAAAACCTTCTGTGTTTTTAGAAACAATTTCTGTGGTAACCATTTCTGTTTTAATAATCACATTATGCATTGAATGTTGTATAACCTCCCCTATAAAAATAAAGATTGATTTTTCTCGGTGAGTCAGTCAGGTCTAGAAAGCCTGGCTGTCCTCTGGCCTCTGGCATCACATCTGGTGTCTGTCTCGTTTCACCTGAGCCATTCCTCCTTCGGGGACCCTGAGATCCGCCGAGGCTGGACTCTGGCAAAACAGGGAATGTTGGGAGAGGCACAAGTGAAAAAAATAGTGTGGAGTTTGGTTTTAAACTTGGTAAGTTGAAGTTGCGTGGTTGGCTTGTGGAGATGGTCAGGAGGCAGGTGGCCACACAACGGAAGATTGAAGACTGAGCTTGAGGGAGAGGTAGGAACTGGGGTATCTCTGCAATAGGTGGATGGATGAGACCATGCTGGAAGAGCAAGTAGAACAAGAAGAGAAGTAGCAAAGTGGGCCAGGACTAGAACCCTGGGAGCCAAACATTGAAGAGGCCCGAGGAAGAAGGAATAGAGGGAGGAGGACATGGGGAAGAGGCTGTTAGGGGAGCCACAGGAATCAAATTCTAACAAGAGAAAGGAGAAATGGAGCAGAAAAATCTAGCGAGGTTAAAAAAGAAGGAAAAAGAAATGATGTAATCAGTGCACACTTAAAAAAGAAAAAAAATCACAACCTGGAGGTTCTTGATGACCTTAATGAGAGCAGTTTCAGTGGGATGTTATGAGCAGAGCCAGATGGGTTACCAGACCTCTCATAAGAAAAGAGCTCACAGGAATCTCTGGGTTATCCTGTTATCCTTGTGAAGCTAGTTCAGGGTCACCCAGTGACCACTTTCAGTCCAAGTGTCCGCAAGAGCCGTGGAGAATCCAAGAGGATCTAGAGTCCAAACTGAGCTTAGGAGTGGATTGAGTGAACAGGAAATGACACAAAGCTGAAAAACCAAGATTAAGGTAGTAAACTTCCATTTTTAAGTTTTAGTTCAAATAATAGATTGCTCAAGCTCAAGATGGAAGAGATTTAGCTTAGCAACAATTGCCTAAAAATGACCCAACGATTTTAGTTGATTATAAACTTAAAATGAGCCAAGACTATGACTTAATTCCCCAAAAAGCTACAACAGGCTTGGACTGTGATAACAGAAAAGAGGAAGTGGAGACACCAGTAAATACTAGTTTTTTGTGTGTGTTTTTTTTTTTTTTTTTTCAGGACAGCAGAGAAAGAGGAAAAGGAAACAACAATCAAAAGGAGATAAGGTTAAATTAGAAAAAAAATTTAAGGATGGAAGAGATTTGAATATGTTTATAAGCCAAGGGGAAGGATCCATTACGGAGGGAAAGAACACAGGCAAGAAGGGAATTGGTGATACAGGAGTCTGATGAAGCTGGAAGTTGATTTTGAACTGAAATGCTGGTGCCTCTCTCTTGGAGAGACTTGAGGGAAGTCTGAAAAAAAAATGGGAGTAACCACAAATAAGTCGTTTTGGGGGAAGGAAATCAGACACTTGGGAAGACCATAGGCAAACGTTTTCGATTTGCTTGATGAAGTAATACCCCATGGGGACAGGCTCTGCTGTTCTCGAGTGTACGTGAGGAGAGAGAGCAATGGGGAACTTGGGGTAGTTGGAAGGGATGGAAAGAATTCCAGAGAGAATGGGATTCTTGGTTTTTGAAGTGAGATCCAGAAACTGGGAGGTTTCTTCTCAGTCGCTTTAAAACCAACGCCCACAGGAAGCTCAGAATCTTTTGAGCCTGCTGGCTTTTCCCAGTTGGCTCAGGACTGGCAGGCCAGACTGTGGCAGCAATGTGCTCAAGAATTATAGGCTTTTTTTTTCTTTTTCTTTTAAATAACCTTAAGTGGAATGCTTAAATTTATTCATCAAAAAAAGTCTTTTAGAGTCAATCATTTTTTAAAAAACATGTTTTTATTCTTAAAATGCATTAATCTACCTGTTAAAATTTTGGCAGAATTACTAAACAGGTAGTATTAATTTATGCAAAGGTAATGTTGTTGCGAAATACTGAAATGCAGATGAGTCTGATATAACTCTTTATCAGGCAATGGTTACTAAGTCAAAAAGTGTTTGAAAATAAAATAAATATCAACCATCACAAACTTTCGGGTACCCGAAGGTCCTGAAAAATTCGGCATTTCCGAAGGAAGCTGTTCGAGGGTCAGGGGAGGGCCGGGCTTTACACAAAAGTAATAAGCTTTTCTCGGCCCTCAGGACTTAACGGGAAGGAACAGACACAAAAATCAGTATCTGTAACAGAGCTATGAGATAAGCTACGTGAGAAGTACAAAACGCACTGAGGTGACTGAAAAATATCGAGTGTTTTTGTCCTGAGATGTGGAGCCCGATTTCCCAAACGCTTTCAAGGAAATCCGGAAAGAGTCAAGGGCGCCCAGACCTTGTAAAACATCCGCCCGGAGCCACCCGCCCTCGGCTCACGCAGTTCTGGGATTGGTGTGCCCAGGCGCGCGCACACCAGGACGACTGTCACCACGAGAGGGCGCGCCCCCGAGACTGTCTACGGAAGTCCCGCCTCCATTTCCGGCGGGATTTCCGAATGGGGAGGGCCTAGCGGCAGCTTCCGTTCTACAGTGTTAACACTTCAGCACGTGTGTCTTTCCATTTGGATTCCTGGATTATTCCTACCCCTGGTGAATTTGTCGCGCCGGAGCTTCCTTCAGATTTAAGGATGAAGGCGGTAAGGGTCTTTAGAAGCCCAGCCCCCGCTATTTAGGACCGCTTTGGCTGAGAGTTACTTCCCGGCTTTTCACCCTTGTTTAGGGGGCGGTGGCCTAGACTCGGGGCTCCCTTTTGGTTCTATGCGCTGTCCGCTTCCTAGCCTTTTTACCTGATTCTTCCTTCATTGCTCACTGTGCTCGCGCTCGTCTTCAGGAGCCACGATGAGACGAACACCGAGTCTTGCATCGCTAGGATGTCAAACATTGAAGGGTTGTTCACGATTGTCTTTCGAACCCCTATTTTACGTATGAGAAGCAGGGTCTTGTTCTCAGTGAATATGTAGTGTGAGTCATGGAATTCGAAACGAGTCCTTTACCTTCCCCAAAAGGGTAAGAAGATAGAAAAGCAAGTGATTTGCTCTGGTTCTCTCCGAAAATTAGGGCTAGCCCTGGGATTTGGGTTTCTGAATAAGGGGTCACCAGCAAGAGAGTTGGAATCCGAAGACCCGAATTCAGTGTTGCCTTCCTTAGTTTAAGGGTCTTTGACAAGTCATCTCTAAAGCTTAACTTTATCAGTAATGTGAGGATAACAGCAATCATTGCTTAACTAAGCTATTGGAGGTAATATGTTGGAGAACTTTGTAAATGGTAAAGCAATATGTAAATGTCAGCTGTTGTTAAAGACAGCCAGCAGTTTGCTCTGAGTATGCTAAACTAGTTAAGATAGCCTTGAATAACCACTTACCACTGGTGGTAGATATGTGGTTCTTAACTTTTTTAGGGGTCTTGGATCCTCTCTAGTAGCTGTGGCTTTTGGTCATGAATAAAACCTCTGGTTGAATAACTATTGCTCTAGTGCCATTCTGTAGGATTAATGCCGTAGATTGGTCTTAGCTCTCATATGCAAGATCCTAGGCTGTGAGGCATTAGAATTGTGGAATTAGTCTAGTGAAATTTATAATCAGTTCTCTTTAATCTGATTTTAAAAAGAAAATAATATAAATTTATGCACGCAGCAATCCTCCTGTTGTTGTTTTCCAGAGAAGAAATAAAAAACAGGTCCCAAGCTTTAGGAAGTTGATTAAGACAAGTAAAGTCAAACTTGAAAACAAGCTAAAAAATAAGCAATTTAAACAACAAAGTAATATCAAGAAGTACCGAAAAGAACAGAGGAAACTAAGGCAAGCGGTCAAAGATGCTGTGTCTAAGAGACCCGTTCCCCTGGAGGACCCTAAGAAAAAACGACCAGGTAATTGTGAAAACATTCATGTGCTCTAATTTCCATCGATTTGTTTTAAAATGTTCTTAATGAAATAGTTGCATTCTACTAGTCACTATTCTTGCTCATAGTTCTTTGTAAAAGTTGCTAAGGATAGTAGACTTTTATGCTTTATCAGTCAGTAGAAGAAAACATTTCACTACGGTATTAACTGTGAGAAAAAGCTGGCCTCAGCTTTTAGTATGTTTAGAAAGCAGAGCTGAAGATACAATACTTGGGATAACAAACTCAGAATTGTACTGTAAATAAATGTCAGGCAGTGTGCCATGTCACTTTCCCATTTGCTGGCAGTTAGCTAGGGTAAGAACTTTGCTTTTCTCTGGTGTGTTCTTCACAGTGTTGCCAAAATTCATGTAGTATTCTAAACATCGGCCTTTCTTTTTATTTGGAAACTTGGAGTAAAATATAGCTGTAATTGTCAGAGTTATTCTGTAAAACTATCCAAGAACTCCCAAGTATTCAAAACAGGTAGGGAATAAGACCGTTTTGAGTCAGATCAGTTCGACAATGTTACTGATACTTTCAGGGTGGTTGTGTTTGACTGTATCTGACCTATTCAGTCTTCCAATGTGCATCTCATTCTCTTAATCCTGACCTATTTAGTTTGATCTCTTGGCAACATATTGTGATATATTAAAGGTCATGGGCCTGGAAGTCTGGAAATTTGGGCTTTTCTCTTAATTTTGATATTTAATAACAAAGCGGCTTTAGTGGGTTACTTACTCTCCAGATATTTAATCTGTAAAGAAATGTGATGGTTGAGTTAAATAAAGGTCTCTTCCATCTAAATTTCAGTAGGATTTAAAAAGCATGATATGTTAATAATTATATATTAAAATAAGCAAATGATTTCTTCATTCTTACAAGTTGGAGTCTATCAGGCAATTGGATATGAGAGTATAAGGTTCAAAAATAAACAAAATAGAAACAGAGGCATAGATACAAAGAACAGACTGATAGCTGTCAGAGGGAAGGGGGCTTGAGGAGCTAGGTAAAATGGTGAGGGATTAAGTGAAAAGAAAAAAATATATGTGTGTGTGTCACATAGACACAGATAACAGTATGGCAATAGCCAGAGGTCGGGGGGAGATGGGAGAGGGCAAAGGAGACAGAAATTGTGGCAGAAGGAGATTTTACATTGGGTGATGGGTACATGATACAGTGTGCAGACGATGTTTGTTGAGTTGCACACTTAAAACCTGTGTGATTTTGTTAACCAAAGTTACCCCAATAAAATTCAATAAAAAAAAAGCATACGTTTCAAGTGAAAAACCTGGGTTAGAGAGAATAGTGTGGAAAATTATCAACATATAGATTATAGTTAAAGCCTTACACTTGGGTAAAATCACTGCGGATACTGTGTAGTACGAGAATAACAGAACCTAGAATAGAATTTTAAGGAACCGTAGCACTTAAGAAATGGGTAGAGGAAGAAAAATCTATAATGGGGTTTGAGGAGGCGCCAGAGAATTGAAAGAAAATGAGAATTACACAGTGTCTTAGAAACGAAACAAGAGTATTTCAAGAAAGAAGGAAGCTCTTTATGTTCTAACATTAAATAGTCTACAAGATAAACTAATTTAAAGAAAGACAAGGTATGTACCGAAGCTTTTACGTGCTTCAAATCATAGGCTGTCACCACATGTCTGATAGGAACACACTGGTAAAATAGAAAAAGAAAAGTGGTTAAAAGGCCTGTATAGTTGGTCAGAGAAGTGAGTGGCAGTAATTGAATAAGAGCTGGAAGGACAAAGGGTTATGGTCTGAGAGTGGGGTGGGCACCCAGATTTGGGATGTGGCCTTGAGAGGGAGTGGCTGAAGTGGAATGGAGGTGAAGGCTATTGGCGATCAGACAGAACTGAGGGGCCAAGTCATTGGTTCTCAAATACGCCGAAAGACATTGTAGAAAGTACGGAGACATTTATTTTTTGATTGTTGCAGTGACCTGGGTGTGATCCTGGCATTTAGGTTTCAGGGGTCAGAGATGCTAGCACTTTGGCTAGCTCAGGACGTCCCAATATAACAAAGAATTGTCCTGCCCAACTTGTGAGTTGTGCTCCCATTTAGAAACAGTAGGCTAAGGTACCAGAAAAAATATGTTTTTCCTATATGCAGAGTTCTACATCTCTTACTACTTGTTTTTGATTTTTTTTTTTTTTTGATGGAACAGGTAAAAGGATTGAGAGGGAAGAGGAGGAAGAAGAGGAAGCCCTTCCTTTAGATATGTTGGATGAAGATGACTTACAGTTAATGAGGGATTTAGGACAAAGAGCATCTTTTCTAACGAGAGATCTTTCTTCTAGGTAATACTTCATTTAGATTGTAATCATGCATATCTTTTTAGTGTAAAAAACTTGGTTCTGAATTATACTTAGGTGATCAGTGCAAAACTTGAGCCCTGAACACAGTGTTGACAAAGAGCAAGCCCTATTTTATTCAGTTTATTTCCTAAATAAAGGAAGTTCATGAATAAAACAAGCTGAATTTATTTAGCGTACATCTTTATTTCGTTTGAGTCTGAATAGTGCAGTAGAGTGAATGGGGAAGAATGCTGTTCTTTGTTTGAGGAATTGGCAGAACAGTTCCGAGTTCTTCATGGCCATGATCTCAGTCCTCGCTACCCTGTTAGGTAGGTATTATTCCCATTTACAGAGAGGAGACTGATGCTTCCTTGCAATCATAAGTAGTAGAAATTTAAACTTAGATCTTTTTAACTCCTAAGTGCATGCTGTGCTCTGAAGGTTTTTGGGATCGCAGGATAGCATTACGTCTCCTTTGGCTCTGGTGTATTCGAAGAGAATCTGCTGCACCTTTCACCTTTATTTTGCAGCTGAAGGGAAGACTAGACATAGCCATACTTTGAGTCCTTGTGGTGGACGACACAATTAATTTAATCATTTACTAGATATTTGAGTTCTGCTGTGTGCCTGGTTTAGGTGCTAATGTATATATACCTGTTGAAGTTTTGGCTAGTAGTTTATTTTTCTGTGTTTAAAAAATGATAAGTCCCTGCATTCCTTTTTAGTATGTTAAAGCTGAAATTTTTTTTTTTGCAGTGAGCCTGTTCACATCAAAAAACGAAAACATGAGCACGTTATAGATAAATATGAAAAAATACCAAGATCTCTGCAAACTGTGCCAGAGAAGGAATTGATTCACTTGCTTCCTATCAAAGATAAAAGCGGCATAATTCCACAGACCAGGGAGAAGCCAGGTGAGTTCCCTCAGCCTGTGTGTTAGTTACAGTTTAAGCGCCTTAGTAATACCACATATTTCTTTCATTAAAAATTTAATTTTGCTTTGACTTTTACCCATGTCTACAAAATAGAGGCAGTTACAGATAGTCATATAGCAAGCTTGATGATTTTGGCCAGAAACACAGTCGACTGTCTTAGGTGTTTGTTGTGCTGTGAGTACAGCTAAAGCTATAGGGCCAAGGTGATTATTTCCTTTTCAGAATATTTCATCAAATTTTATTGCTTCTAAAATTAGAGTATGTTCTTTACTCTTAGAGTCATTCTTTACTAGCCTTTTTTTCTTATATGTATCTTTTTTCTTATGAAATAACATAGAAAATTCCAGAAATCTAAGATGTGAAGTTATGTGGTTTATCACAAAAAACACCCATAGAGCTACCGTCTGGGCAAGAAACAAATACCGCTAGCATGCAGAAACATCCCTCATGTTCTCCTTAGTCACCTACTGTTCCCTCCTCAAAGAAGTAACTGCTTTCCTGAGTTTTATGTTAATCACTTCTGTGCTTTTCTATGTAGTTTCACCACTTAAGGATATTATCATGTTTTTAATGTACATATTTTCCAGTTACTGACACTAACCAAGATGAAGAGGATCAAAAAGAAATGGAACCTGAGGAAGGTAATAGGGTACATCTTTATAGTTACTAAATTGTTAATTGAGAATTACATTTTTTTTTTGGCCTAATGTAAGTGAGTTAATTTTAGATAAAATCTGGAATGTGTATTGGATTACTGGGCATTTCAAGGTGATTTTGGACATTTTCCAACATTTTGAAAGTTTCACCTTGTGGAATTTGATTGTTGTTTATTATTATGGAAAAATTTATGCAATTAAAATTTGTAATGTGTAGGCATGCATGAGGAGTCTTGTTAATTGCACTGTTTTGAGTTCTTTTTAATTTTAAGTAAGGACCTACAGATAACTATTAACTGTTTAGCTTTAAATTACAAAAACGATTGTGTGGTGTGCAATGATTTTAGTTCTTTAGAGCAGTTATACTTTGTGTATATCTGTTTTAAATCATTAAATGTGAGTTTCTAATAGCTAGCATAGTTCTAATCAAAGTTAAAGTAAAAGAACATATTTATTGTATGAAACTGTATTGGTTTGGAATTCGTGACAGAACAAAATGGCTAAATTTTACTTCTGCTTTGCAAACTCAGTAATAGTGTAAGTGAGATTCCAGGTGAGCTATTTTACCTGTGTTCAGTCATCCTTCATCGGCTTCTTGCAGATTGTCCCATGTGTTTTTTCAATCTAGTTCCCTATGAATTTCGTTTTTAAAAAATTATCATTCTATTACAGTTGTCCCAGTTTTTCCCCTTTTGCCTTCCTCTGCCCATCACACCCCGCTAAATTTCTTAATGTGAACATATTTGATGTAGTTCAAAGGACTGTATAGAGCTGAAAACAAAGAATGTAATGTACTTTTTTTTTTTAAGATTTTATTTATTTATTTTTAGAGAGGGAAGGGAGGGAGAGAGAGAGACAGAGACAGAGACAGAGAGACAGAGACACATCAATGTGCGGTTGCTGGGGGTTCTGGCTTGCAACCCAGGAATGTACCCTGCCTGGGAATCAAACCTGGGACACTTTGGTTCCCAGCCCGCGCTCAATCCCCTGAGCTACGCTAGCCAGGGCTAAAATAGTGTACTTTTTAAAAGCACAAAATCAAACTGCCCTTCCCCTAATGGTAGTACCTGCCTCATATGATTGTTGAGAGGATGATATGAAATAAGGTTCTTGGATACTTGTAAGTAAAGGAATGGTTAAGAGGGAAGATCTAATCTGTTCCAGAGAGTATTGAAGATCCTATTCCAGAGCTGACCATAGAAGAACATTTAATTGAGAGAAAGAAGAAACTACAGGAAAAGAAACTGCATATTGCTGCCTTGGCATCTGCCATATTATCAGATCCAGAAAATAATGTAAGTAGTAGTGATTTCTTTAGGTTCCTCATATTAGATATGGTCTAAATGTGTAATATTTTAAGATTCTCCTGTTACCCATAAGTATACACAAAAAAGAAAATCATTAGCTAAACATCGTAACTGAGTTAAAATAAGGGAGTAGACAGAACCTTAGCGTAATTCTGTGTTTGAGCTTAAGTTCTTCTGTAATCTTAGAGAAGTCTTGTAAATGCTCTGAGTCTCTAAATGTACGTATTGGACCTAATGTTTGGAACTCATGGTGCTGGGAAGGAGGAACTTCCTTGCAAATTTCCTTGACTGACTATAGAGTTTTTAGTTAGGAACATGCACACAAAAAACATATTTTAGGAATACTTGTAAATGTGAAATATTTTAAGTGCAATAAATCCAAAGGTTATAATGAATGATCACTGGGCCATGGGTGCACTAGGGAAGGTGATGGTAGTTACAACACTTCATCAAGAAACGCAGGGTCTAGCCTCGGCTCTGCTAAGTACTGTCTGTTAGACTTTGGGTGAGTTTTGTAACCAAGACTCATTTTCTTTCTTTTTCTTTTCAAAGATATAAATAAATAAATAAATAAATAAATAAATAAATAAATAAATAAATAAAATATTATTTTTAGAGAGGGGGAAGGGAGGGAGAAAGAGAGGGAGAGGAACCTTGACTGGATGTCCCCAGTACACACCCTGACCAGGGACCGAACCTGCAACCCAGGTGTGCTTGCTGCCCAACCAGGAATCACTCGACAACCTTCTGGTTTGTGGGACGATGCTCAACTAACTGAGCCACACCAACCAGGGCAAGACTCATTTCCTTCATCTCTAAAATGAGAATGGAACCTGTATTAAAACTTTGTTGTGAGGATTAAATGATACATATACATTAAGTTATATAAAGCGATACTATTATTTTTGCTATATTGGTGTCCCCAGCATTCCACTATGACAAATATTTGTTTATTGAACGATAAAATGGATTATTTACATCTATAGAAAAAATTTTACATGGGTATGTTTCAGACTAGTATTTGTCCTTTTCTAACAAAGTGGGAAGATCTGGAGCAGAATCAGGGAGGGGAGTTTGGAATATTTCTCATCTGTATTATCTCACTTAGTCATTGTGAAACCATAGAGACAGAAGCTATTAATCTCATATCACAGCAGAAAAACAGAGCCTTTAAAAACTCAAGTGATTTGTTCCAGATTTTAATTAGCCACTGAGTTGGAACCCGGCTCTTCTAACTCGGGAGCCTCACGCTCATTTCATAAAAGCGAGGGGGAGCGAGTAGGCAGTGACATGCTCGTCCTGCTCCCTGCTGTGGCGAGCACCACTCATCAGCCAGGTTGTTGCTGCCCAAGGTGACGCTCCAGCAGACAGTGGGAGCTCATCAAAGCAAACACATTAGTTGAAACCAGTTTTTTACTTTTGCATAACATCATCTTGTGCAAATGATTGTTATATGAGTAACTTTGAAGCTTATGTTAACATGGACACATTATATTAATTTCTGGCTAACTTGCCAGGAATTATTGAATATAGTTTGAATTATTTCAATATTTTATTGAATTATTTCAATTATTTCAATAGTTTGAAATAACTATTTCAAAAATTGTTTTTAGGGAAATAGGACACATGTCCCTCTAAGAAAAACCAATTAAAAATAGGCAAATTAACAAACTTAAACTATTATTTAAGTTCTTAATTTTCAACTACTTACTTAACAAAAACATGATTAATTTGTAACTTCAGTGATTTGTCTGTAGGTCACGGGAGCCGTCTGGAGTTGTGTGTGGCTGGACCAGACTCTCTGAGTGGTCGCGCGAACTCTGCGCACTGCACCAAGCCCCGATGTGGCACCGTTGCTTTTGCTCATGATTATTTTGCCATTATTTCTCTAGCCTTGCATGTTATTTCTGTGACAGGTGAAAAAATTGAAGGAATTACGTTCAATGCTGATGGAACAGGACCCTGATGTGGCCGTTACTGTTCGAAAGCTGGTGATAGTTTCTCTGATGGAGTTATTTAAAGACATCACTCCTTCATATAAAATCCGCCCCCTAACAGAAGCAGAAAAGTCAACCAAGGTATGTTAAATACAATTACTGTACGAAATAAGCTGAAAATTTTGGAGAGTGAGAGATGAGAGAAACAAGATTTTGTTTCTTTTTAGATTTTTTAAATTGACTTCTTAGAGATGGAAAGAGAGAACCAGGGATTTGTTGTTCCACTTATTTATGCCTCTCCTGGCTGCTGCTTATATGTGTCCTGACTGTGGATTGTGCTCAAAACCCTGGCGGGTGGGACGGCCCTCCAACCAACTGAGCTACCTAGCCAGGGTGGGTTTTTTATTTTTATTTTTTGGTGGGTTTTACATGACCGGGTATATTAGTAGGCCCTCAACATTTTGTCCTAATTTTCAGATTTCAGTATTTTGATGTTAAAAAGTGCTTGATCTTTCGGTCTTTTCAGATACGCAAAGAAACCCAAAAGTTAAGAGAATTTGAAGAAGGCCTCGTTAGCCAATATAAATTTTATTTGGAAAATTTGGAGCAAATGATTAAAGGTATATTAAATGTCTTTAAGCATGTGACACATTTAGCCTTGGCCGGGAGGGCGGGTTCTGTATTCTGTGCCGTGTGCCACTGTCAGTGTCGTGTGTGGTCCCGAGCAGAGTCTCGCGTCAGACTCTCTGGGTTCAGCTCTCGGCTCATCACTTAACACCTGTGTGATGGGCAAATCGTCGAATCTCTCTGGGCTTTGGTTTTTCTAACTGTAAAGTGGGAATAATGATAATACTTAACCTCATGGAATTGTTGTGTGAAAGTAAATGGACTTATAAAGCACTAACAATTATGCCTTGCTTGTGTTAAGGACTATATTTATCAGTTATTAGTATTACAGTTCTTTACCTGGTAAGTAGTTGTATATGTCTTAAATTCATGAATAGTTGGGATTTATTCTGCTGGGTTTTTTAAATTTTTATTTTAGAGAGCAAGTAAGTAGTTGGGAAAAGGATAACTTGTAATGAATCCTTTGAAAACTCTTATGAGTCAATTATTCAGGATGATAAACTCTTCTGTCAGACCCTTGTTCTCAGAGCAGGAAGGGCATAGGGAAAATTGGGGCAGGACGGCGGGAAGGGGTTCAGTTGCCTAGGCCAGGTGCTTTCACTGACCAGGCTGGGCTCCTTTACTCAGTGCTGGGCCTGAGGATCACCCAGTTGCTATCTCAGCTGGAACAGGACTGCCGAATGCTGTTGGCCCAAAAAGGACATGAAGGTGGGTGGGATGGATATTGTTTGTAAGCTCTGACATCCCACCTGGAACAGGCTTTCTGACATTTTACTCTCCCAGTGATACGGCTCGGAAGCACTGTGTAGACCAGCACTATCAAGTAGAACATGATAACATGAGACACAAAAGTCATTAAGAACAATGTAGCCACACTTTAAAAAAAGGTTAAAAGCAGTATCATTATTTTTTATTTGTGTGTGTGTGTGTGTGTGTGTGTTTCCGCCTGGTTCTGAACCGAGTATCATTAGTTTTAATAGTAGATTACGTATGTCTAAATTACCATTTTAACATGTAATCAATTTTAAAAATTAGATGTTTTATATTTTTTTGGTACTAAGTTCAAAATCTGGTGTGCATTTTATACTCCAGCACATCTCGGGCGGGAGTAGCCATATTTCAAGCGCTCAGGTGCCCTGTGCGCCTGGTGACCTCTGCACTGGACCCTGCGGGTGCAGGCCATTCTGAGTGGATTGAACCATATGAACTTGTTTTTAAGCTTAAAAAATTATGGTAAAGTATATATAATATAACATTTATATCATTTTAAATATTTTTAAGAGTATAATCCTGTGGCATTAAGTCAAGTCACCAGCATCCACCTCCAGAACTTTTTATCTGCCCCAACTGAAATTTTGTGACCATTAAACATTAACCCCCCACTCCCTCCTCCCCCAGCCCTTGGCAACCAGTCTACTTTCTGTCTCTACGAGTGTGACTCCCCAGGAACCTCATATTAATGGAATCACACAATATTTGTCCTTTTGTGACTTGCTTGTTTCACTTAGCAGGAGGTTATCAAGCGTATGTTCTTGTAGCAGGTGTCAGAATTGTCTTCCTTAAGGTCAAATGATAGTCCATTGTATGTAATCACATTTTGTTTATCCATGTATCTCTCCATTATGAAGTCTTGTCAGGTTCAAGTAAATAGAACATATGGTTCTTCCTTATGGTGAACACTGTCGGGGGGAAAACTGTATATATGAGAAGCAAGTTTAAAATGAAGTTACTGTCGTCCATGTCACCTGTATCATCTCTGGCTGTATATGATAGAGAGGGAATGTTGAACCTGCTGTAGAGAGACCAGCATGTTTCCATATTCTCATATTCAAGATGCTGTGTTACCGTAGCAATATATGTATGCAGGAATTTCTAGAAAATGGGTACTGTGCATCATCAATTATTTCGAAGGGTAATTTGAATCTCTTTTGGACCTCCTGGGTAAAGAGATCACTGTGAGTTTCAGCAAGAATTCAGGAGAAATGTTTTAGATTCTTTGGATTTGTAATTAATCAATTAATTAATTAGAGAAATACTGCTTTGTTGTTCCACTTATAACATTTATTGGTTGCTTCTTGTATGTGCCCTGACTGGGAATTGAACCCACAAGTTTGATATATCGGGATGACACTCTAACCAATGGAACTACCTGGCTACGGCCAGATTCTTGGGATTTTTAGAGTGTGAAAGAGGCTGGGATTTGGAGAGTTTGGAACTTGTTCATATTCACCAGCCAATTAGTGGGGGACTAGGATTTGAACCCAGGCTTCTTCACTTCTAGTTGAGTGTTTTGAGAAAAGCCTTGGAGAGCCCAGTGTGAGTGCTCCTTTAAGGTATCCAGCTCCTGGTTCCCTTTCTTTTTAACCCCCTGGGGACCCTTTTCATCTAGTGATATGTCTTAAAGGCACAGAAAGCTGATATTCTGGTAATTGTGGTTACAGTCAGAGGACGGGTGAGTGGAAACATTATAATGATAACCTTGTATTTGTGTAAGTGTAGATACAGTTCATATTTAAGAATTTGCATGGCCTGTTGGGTTTTCATATGACCACATATTACTATAAAAGAGAGATAATTAGTTGAAGCTTTGACCAATGAGGAAAGTAAGTAACTAACTACAGTTGTCTTTTGGTTAGACTGGAAGCAAAGGAAGCTGAAGAAAAGTCATGTAGTTTCCCTAAAGGCATACAAAGGCCTGGCAGAAGTGGCTGTGAAGAGCCTGTGTGAGCTGTTGGTGGCCCTGCCTCATTTCAACTTTCACAACAACATCATCGTCCTGATCGTCCCTCTCATGAATGATGTGTCAAAATCGGTGGGTTGCTGACTGTTGCTGTTTGTGCTTAATAGAAAATTATAGAGCATGTGGTTTTTTTCTCTCAAAATTCTTTTGGAGCTCTTATTTATTACTAAAATACAGTCACTTTGCTAAATACTGCTTCTTTAAGAAAACTCTTTGAACTTAAGTTTGGGGTAGTGGTTCTGAACAGGAGGCGGTTCTGCCTTCCAGGGAGCATCGTCAGGACTGCGGGGTGGGGGCCTGGGAGCTGCCACGTAGTGGGTGAAGGCCAGGCTTCCAAAGGTCCTGTGAGGCGCAGGACTGCCCCCACAGTAACGCATTCTAAAGAAAAGTCCAGTATTTGGTGTGAAGAGCTGAGGTTGAGAAGCAGCAGTCTAGTGAAACGTTTTATTTTCCAGATATCTGAAATGTGCTGCGAGGCTGTCAAGAAACTTTTTAAACAAGATAAACTAGGCCAAGCATCCCTTGGAGTAATTAAAGTGATTTCTGGTTTTGTGAAGGGCAGAAATTACGATGTTAGGCCAGAGGTAAGCCTTTTGTTTTGTACTTTACATTTTATTTGTTTTTAGGTCACAAAGTTAATTTTCACTTGTCAGTTTATTCTTCACGGAAGCGTGCGAAGTACAGAGGGAAAGCGCTCAGTTGCCGCCAGCGCAGCCTTCCATTTACTCCTGTAGTTTCCATCGCTCACCCTGCAGTTTCCACCGCTCGGTTCCCAGTTCCCGGTCTTACTTTGCCATCAGATCCCCTTCATTAATGCCGGTAATTTTAGCAGTTCTGGGAGCTGCCACGTAGTGGGCACACAAATAGTGCGCTTAAGAGAAAATATTTAGTGTCTTTATGCAGGATCGTAGAGTGATGAGATAATAAGGCTTGAACAGGGAGATTGTTCATAGGGAAACACTTCCACTTTAGTGATGTTAGAATGATAAACTGCATTCTTTAATTTGTTGTTTTTGGTCTGTATTAGGTTGTACAATTGTGACTTTTTAAAGGTGTGCAATATGATAATTTAATATACATACACATTGGGAAATGATTACCACAGTCAAATTTCAAATTAATTAACACATTCTTACCTCTCATAGTTACCTTTTTTTCATGCTGAGAATATTTAAGATCTATTCTCTTAGCAAATTGTTAACTGTTATCACCATGCTGTACTTTAGATCTCCAGAACTTACATAGTCTTTTAACTGAAAGTTGATAGCATTTGATCAACATTTTGCCATTTTCCCCATTCCCGGCAACCACTGTTCTCTCTGGTTCTACGCGTTCGACTTTTTAGATTCCACATAAAAATGAGGCGATCATACAGTGTTTGTCTTTCTGTGTCTGGCTGACCTCACTTAGCATAATGTCCTCCAGTGTCATCCATGTTGTCACTAGTGGTGGGAGTCTTATTTTTAATGGTGGAATAGTATTCCATTATACGTCTGTATCACATTTTCCTTATTAATTGATTTGTGGACACTGGCTAAACGTTTCCATATCTTGGCTGTTGTAAATAATGCTGCAGGGGACACAAGAATGCAGATAACTCTTTGAGATACTGATGTCATTTCCTTTGGGTATACACCCAGAAGTGGGACTGCTGGGTTATATGATAATTTTTGTTTAATTTTTTGAGGAGCATCTATACTGTTTTTCAGAGTGTCTGTACCAGCTTATACTCTGATTCCCTCTCTTCACACCCCCACGAACACCCATTGTGTTTTTTTGATAACGGCCATTCTATAACAGGTGTGAGGTCAGATTTGTGTTTCCCTGATGATTAGTGCTGTTGAGCGTATTTTCATATGTACTTGTATGCCTTTTTGGAAAAATGTCTGTTCAGATCCTCTGACCATTTTTAATTGGGTTGTGTTTTTTTTTTGCTGTTGAGTTCTGTGAGTTCCTTGCATATTTTGGGTAGCAACCCCTTGTCTGATGTGTTTTGCAGGTGTTTGTTGCCATTCTGTAGCCGGCTTTTCGTGTTGACGGCTGGCTGTGTGGGCGTTTTCGTTTCCTTTGGCCCACCTGTGTGTGTGCGCTTTTGTCGCCTGTGCTTTCTGTGTCATAGCCGAGAAACACTTTGCCAAGACCAATGTCAAGGAGCTTTTCCCCGATTTTTTTCTAGTAGTTTTGTGGTTTCAGGCCTTACATCTAAGTTTTTAATCCATTTCCACTTAGTTTTTGTGAGCGGTTTAAGATAAGAGTCCAATTTGATTCTTCTGCAGGTGGAAATCATTTTTTTCCAACATCTTTACTGGGGAGCATATCTTAGCGCCCTTGTCAAAGGTTAGCTGGCTGTGAACCACATCCTTTAATTTGGAGTTATTTTTCGTCTGTAAGATTTAATGAGCACGCAGAATACATGATGCGTGAATTGATCTTTCCAACAGCTGGGATGACTTTAGGTTCACTATTTCACTGTTGGTTTTTCCCTGTTGCCATTTGTGCTCTAAGCCTTAAAATCTGAAATACTCAGTTTTCTTTCAGATGCTCATGTTGGAATAATAGAAAGCTGTATTTCTCAAGTATTGTTTTTCAGGAATGCTTCTGTGACTTCAGGAGGTCAATGGAGTGGTTTCTTCCCAAGAAAATGTAGGGTTTTAAACCCCTTTTGTCTTTGTGTTTGGATGGTTGCCAGTTTCCAAATCGGCTTCTGACTTTTTTGAATGGTTTAAGGCCACAGTTCTCGTTGTGGTCCCTGACCCAGCATCAGTGGGAATGAAAAACACAAGTCCTGGGGCCCTACCCCAGACTCACGGAACCAGGGATTTGTTGGCCCAGCTGTTAGCGTGTTAACAAACCTTCCAGGTGTTCCGATGTTTGCTGAAGTTAGAGATCCATTGACTTGAAGGAAGATAAGTTGTCTTTATGTAATTTATTTTTGTGCGGTGGGGGAGGTGAATATTAGAACCATTTTCTGTAAAACCGAAGCCACTGTGGTAAATTAAAACTGGTTTAGAAATACCTAATTTATATCTCCTCCTCCAGTGCTGTTCAAACCTTTAACTGGCCGGTCTGCTCTTCGTAATCATTATCTACCAAAGCCGAGTGGCGTGCACTTGCTTCCTGTTACCACTGGACTACAAAATCATGTTACATGTATTTAGCCAAATACTAGACACAAGTTACCGCATAAGTCTAGCAAAAGGATAATAGGTTTTTGTGTAAAATGTGATTAAAGATGTTTTGAGGGGTTTTTTTTTTTTGCATGAAGGAAGGAAATAACATCTTTAAATGCTTAGTTTTCTCAATAAAGTTTTTGAGGGCAATATAAATATTAAGCTGTGTATTATGCTTTCTGCCATATTAGATGTTACAGACATTCTTGTGCTTACGAATCAAAGAAGTGGAAGTGAAAAAAGATACAGAGGACATTAATAAACCAAAAAAATTTATGACTTTCAAGGAAAAGAGAAAAAGTCTGTCAAGAATGCAGAGAAAGGTTTGGTTTATTTCTTTTTTTGTTTCAATTTTAGATTAAAACCATAGTATAGAAACAAGTAAAAATCATCGTTAAATAGTAATTATAAATATTTAAAAGTTCAATATTTAGAGAGTTTAATTTTCCCACTTATTACAGAGAAATATTTTATGAAATCAGTTTAAACTGACAACTCATTGGCAAAGAGAGAATGGTAAAAAAGACATTGTCGCTATGCTGGCCTTCAAGGTCACCTTTGATTCATTGTGACACACAGATGTTTTCCTCAACAGAAAGACTGTATTCATGTGAAGTGCAACAAAGTGGGGTTGTGTTCATTGAATCAGGTTTTTTATTGGTTCATATTTGAAACTTTTTATTTACTAGGAAACTCTGGGTACATTTTTAAAATATTTTGAGAAATGGAACTATTAATAGTCCCCACCTTCCAGAGTCATTGCGCATTTACATGAGATGACGCAGGCAGAGCACCCAGCAGCGTGCGTGGCACTGGCCTTACAGACCTTAGCTGCCACCACCACTCACGGTGTTACCATTTCTCAAAACATGTCTAAACAGTTTCTTAGTGTTATCCAATTGCTTATAAAAACAAAATAATTTCCAGGATACCTATTTTTAAGTGTCGGTAATAATGTTAAAAACATGACATAAATATCAAATTAGACTTAGTAACTGCAAACTAATGAAGGAAAATACTTATTTTCATTGTTGATAGCATACTGTCCTAATGCAAGCTGGGCAGTAGCTGTGATGGGGGAACAAAGACTCGATAAGAACTCAGCAGCTCATTAACCACCTCTCTCACCAGAGGGAAGGAGAGGACTTCTTAGTGCCCTGTTTCCTGGGCAGCTTAGCGACCAGTTTGCTGCTCTTAGAGCATAAAGAAGTGGAAAAAGAAGTGATATTTTGTCAAATTTCTATATACTATCTGGTTTTATGCGTTGTATATAAATGAATTTGGGAAGTTTTGGTGATGAATGGCTTCTGTTATAGATGATTTGACAATAAGAATTGACCCCAATATTTCTGGGCTCAGCCTGTTTTTTTTTTAACTTTAATTTAAATTATAGAAAACTACAGAAAGTAGTGTAGCACATCCCATGTCTCCACCTTTCTGAATGAAAAAATGTTAATAGACTGACTTCAGTTTTTTTCTTGAAAAGGAAGCAAGCAGTGGTGTTAGAGTTAGAATGCCCTTTGGTCTCCCTATTTCATTCTGGTGCCTTCCTCCAGGGGGCCGCCTCCGCTCTCTGTGTAGACTTCTTACCGTTTTTCTACATTTGCTTATATTAGTACTCATAGGCAGCCTGGTATTGCTGTATGTGTTTCATCATATTTACATGTTATATCTCTCTAAGCTTGTTATTTTCACTCAATGGTATATACTCTTTATTTTTCAATCTGTTTTCAGTGGAAGAAAGCAGAAGAGAAACTAGAGCGAGAGCTTCGGGAGGCAGAAGCTGCAGAAAGCACTGAGAAAAAACTTAAATTGGTAGGTGGTTTCACATTCTCCCGTGCCAGCAATAATAGCCGTTCATTGTGAATGAGTCAAAATTATACCTATATTTCTTGTCATATCAGCAAAAATACAATTTTTTTGGTGTCCTGCAGAATAGTTTATGTGTATTGTAAAAAAGGAAAAAAGTTGAAAATTGCTGTTCTATGCTTTTTAAATGTTTGGTTAAATAATTCTAACTAGGGATTTATTATTTCAACTTATGGCTATATCATTTTGCCCCCTCCCCTCCCTCCCTTCCTTCCATTTACTTATTTTTAGAGAGAGGGAGAAAGGGAGGAGAGAAACATGATGTGTGGTTGCCTCTTGGGTGCCCCCTGCTGGGGACCTGGTCTGCAACTCAGGCATGTGCCTTGACTGGGAATCAAACGAGCGACCCTTTGGTTCACAGGATGGCACTTTGTCCACTGAGCCACACCAGTGAGGGCTAATTTTGGTTTATTTCATGAGGCTTAGATATGAGATGTACAAGAAATTATGTGATCAGTGCTTTAAGAAATCACTGGATGTGTATCTTCATTCTATTGAAGCTTCATTTTGTTAAAGCTCCTAAGATGGAATTTTTGGGAGGGATGGGAAGGGACAAAAAAAGATTGAGCTTAAGTGATAGTTAACACAATTCAGGAGAAAGGGTACTGGGTTATACTAAAGTCATGCTGTCTTTTCTTTGGCCAGCACACGGAGACTTTGAATATTGTGTTTGTAACCTACTTCAGAATATTGAAGAAGGCCCAGAGGTCACCTCTCCTGCCAGCAGTTCTGGAAGGTCTTGCCAAGTAAGGGCTGTGTAGGTTAAAACCTTTTAGATTCTTTCCAAATAAATAAGACCAATGTAACCATGAATTTTAAACAGGGTTTAGTAATGCTGACACAGTGTTCTCAGTTCTTTCTCTCTCTTTTTTTTTTGGTCACCAGCCTTTTCTTGCTTCGCTTTATTTGTACTTGGCTAGTCCCTTTTGCTGCACTGGAAGTATTTCCATGCTCTTGGGTTCATATAATTGCCAGCTCAAAGGGTATGCATTTTAAATTTTGATAAATATTGCTAAATTGCTCCCCCAAAGATTTTACCAATAGACTGGGAACATATGGCTTCTGAGGTTCTTTCCTGTTCTAAGTGTCAAAGGCTCTTACACTGATATTGAAGAGATATCCCTTAACTACTTCCGTGCCTAATATTTTACAGTGTACAAGAGTGCTGACATTTCGTAGCTCCCACAATTCTTTCTCTTTGACTCTATTTTGGGTGGTCTCAGCCAGTCAAGTGACTTACCTAGGATCATAAAGGTAATTCACTGCAGAGCCTGAACTAGACACCAGGTCCAGCTTCTTTTCCGTTTTGTTTTCAAAGCTTTCATAGTGTCCACATTCTTATAAATAGGAGAGTCTTTCCTCCGTTCTCTCCCCGCCACCCGTTTTCCTCACAGCTGGTGCCGCCTGCTCTCTCATGGCTTTGAACAGTGCTGTGCACCTGGCGAGCTTGCCCCGGGGAACCTGTTTGCCGAGGCAGCTTCCTTCTCGGGGCCTCAGTGTTTTCGAAGCGCTGTGTGAGTCTGTTTAGTGCCTCACTTATTCCTGCTGAGCATGGTGCTGGCCTGTGGACTGTCGGAAAGTCTAGTCCGAATAATTGAGAAGTAACCTAATCTCTACAGTTCCTCTCATAGCTAGGAATGAGGAATATTAAAAATACAATGCTAAAGTCAAGTTTAAATTTGGCTGTTTTAGATTACCTTTTAACTAAGTTTTATTTGATTTTAGGTTTGCTCACCTTATAAATGTGGAGTTTTTTGATGATTTGTTGGTAGTGCTACATAACCTCATTGAGTCTGGTGTAAGTAACTATTAATGAATTATTTTTTAAGATATAAATGGTACTGTTATTGTTTGTAAATATATAAATACAAATATGCATATACATATATACATACACACACACACACATATATATATATATATTTTTTTTTTAAAGAACCTAAGCTATCAAGAAAGTCTCCATTGTGTCCAGACTGCTTTCCATATTCTCTCCGGGCAAGGTAAGGGCTCCCCTTCATCGCATTGTGTTTGCTTTCCCTTTGGAGGCTGCAGCACATCTGACTGTGTTTGTTGTCATTTCAAAGGTGATGTTCTGAATATTGATCCAATGAAGTTCTATACACATCTTTACAAAACACTGTTCAAGTTACATGCAGGTATGTATATGTAGGAGATGATGTGTCTTTAATATATATTTCTTTTAACAATATGTTGTGACCAGAATGATAGCCAGTAAAAAATGAGAAATAGGAACTGGTTATAAAGTGCTGGCCTGCCGGTTCCCCACGTCTGTGTTCACCCTCCTGTCAGTCGGAGAGAGCGAGAACTTTGGGAATTATTGGCTGGAGCTGCCATACAACCCAGCACATCTCTTGAGCAGTCTAGGCCTACTTCATGGGTTCGGGTGATGACTTGGGACAGGCACGGCAGTTGGTCTTGAGTTTTTCTGGAATTAGGTGAGGTTGCAGCATGGGGAAAGTAACGAAGGGTGCATCTGCTGTTTTAGGTGCCACCAACGAAGGGGTTGAGATCGTGCTCCAGTGCCTTGATGTCATGCTAACTAAGCGCAGAAAGCAGGTTTCTCAGCAGCGAGCCCTCGCCTTCATCAAGCGCCTCTCTACCCTTGCTCTTCATGTCCTTCCAAACGCAAGCATCGGCATTTTAGCAACTAACAGAATATTAATGCACGTAAGTAGTGATAGGAATGAGGAGAGCTACAACAGGGGTGTTTTGTTTGATGTGTGTTCTTTTCTCCCCATTCACATTGTTATTTAATTACAAAAGTAATTCACACTTGTAAGAAAATCAGGCACCAAAGGAAGTACATAAAATTACACAAGGACAGCATTCCACCCCAGTGGCAATCTCTGGAGGTGACCATTTTTACCATTTGGTGGGTATTTTCCCTGCTGACTTTTTAAAATTCATATATAAACACATACACCAGGCACATGCAAACAGCACAGCTTTTACTTTTTAAGGGAAAGAGGGCTGTGGAGATTATGATATACATAGTGTTCTACAATATATTTTAACATATGGTGATGAACACATTTTATAGGTTCCTTCTGTTACAAATAATGCTATAGTAAATATCCTTATGTGTACCTAATGTAATTATTTCTGTAGGAAAGATTCCTAAAAGTGGGATTGCTGGGTGAAAAGAATATTCTGTTTTCTCTTGCAAGATAAATTCTTCTCAGAGCAAGCCAAGAAAGTCAAGTAATCTTTTGCAGTTTTTGTTCTGTCACGGTATAAGCTTAAGTTTACAAACTTGAGCATGAAGTTTTTTATGCTTATAGCTCTAATATAGCCATAAAAATTAAATGAAATTTCAATATAAATACAAGTACAGAACCCAATAACCTTCTTTAATAATATTAATTAATCCTTTTTATGTGACATTTTTGCAGACTTTCCCCAAAACTGATCTGTTGCTTGACAATGAGTCTCAAGGCAGTGGGGTTTTCCTTCCCGAGCTGGACGAACCTGAGTACTGTAACGCTCAGAACACTGCCCTCTGGGAGCTGCACACACTGCGGGTAAGAGCGCCCCTCCCTCTTGTTTGTGAGCTGTTTGTTCAGCTTTTCCCCCTGAGCAGTTGCTGCTGCCTGAGGACATAATGTACCTTGTTCTGGGACCGCCTCTCCTAGAATTCATGTTTTAATAGTCTGTGTTTCACTTTGCTTTTCCTTCTCTTTAAGATGTCGAGGTACATTTTCTAGGGAAGCTGAGAGGGGTAAGATTGAAATCTTTCCCTTCCCAGGCACATTTGTATTGGCTCCTACCCAAGGAGACTTCGGTAGGCCCGCAGGTTTCGGCAGGGTCTCCCTTGTGCCCCGATCCTACAGTGTGGACAGCGTTAGAGTGAGACACAGCAGAAATGTGTTTCAGGAAGCTTGCTGTCAGCTCGCTTTGTCACCTGAAGTAGAAGTGGCCTTTTGGTTTTTCTGTTCACTCTGCAAAGACTAAGCTGTGCCACTGGAGACTTGCTCATCCAACAGGTTTATGTGGTCATCCCGTGAGCAAAGACAGTCTTCTCCTGTAGTTGTGTGGTTTTTGTGAATTACATATACATCTATAGCTTTAAAAAATATCAGCGTTTACTAAATAAAATCTTCGTGGTAGCCAGTGTTCTATAAAATACTGACCTGTGCACACGTGGTTGTCCTGCTTCCCCCTCAGCGCCACTTCCACCCCGTCGTGCGGAGATTCGCGGCTCACCTCGTCGCTGGGGCTCCCCTGGAAGGCTCTGAAGCGCTCAAACCAGAGTTGAGCCGAAGGTGGTATTTATGTTGCTTCATTATATAAAACTGGACATTTCAGCTGATAGGTCTTGACTGTGAGAAGTCTGTTTTAAAATGTAATAGGTTTGAAAATGTAACGTGCTAGTCGGTTATCTGCATCTGGTCTCACTTCATATTCCTGAATTGTTTAGAGGAGAAAGCATGCTGACTGTGATTTTAGTAGTTTGTTTTGGGAAAGCACAACGTTTTTTTTTGTCATAAACATTTTTACACATGCAGATATGTAGAAAGAATAGTGAATCCTCACATGCCCATGACTCAGGTTCAACAATGAATAAGACAGTTCCATATGTGCTTATGTGAAGATCCATGAGTCTAAGTACAGTGAAAATCCCTTTTTTTTCTCTTGGATGGTCCTGCAAGGGCCAGAAAGGAAGAAATGAGAAGAAAGAAGTGTTTTGCAGCACTGCCCCATCCAGAGGGGCCTGACCTGCAGGAAGCATGGACGCTGCCCCAGCATTCACCTTACACTCTTCCAGATGGGGAAAAGGGTCCTAAGGAAGTTTCTTTTCCCTCACCTTTTTTAAAAAAATTGAATTCATTAAAGAAGAATGTTTTATTTATTGATTTTAGAGAGAGAGGAAAGGGTGTGGCCTGGGGAGACATCAATTTGTTGTTCCACATATTCATTCATTCATTGGCTGATTCTTGTAGTGCCTTGACCGGGGATCGAATCCACAGCCTTGACATATTTGGGTGGTACGTAACCAACTGAACCGCCCAGCCAGGCCTCCCCACACCTTTTTATTCTGAAAAAGTTTTAAAGCACAGAAAAATTGAAAAAAGAGTAAATACCTATCTCCAAAAAATCAGTTAGAAAATACCTCAGTTATAAAGAAGAGAAAATGATCTAAAAGACACCCTTACAATAAAGCTACCACTCAGAATTAATATATTGTAGATTTTTCCCCTTTACAAATGCATTGGTTTTTTATATTCAGAGATCATTGGCAAATGACCTGTAGGTGAGCAGGTTGATTTTCTGACCTCTTGAGAGTTTGAACAGAAAATGAATTAGTTTTTCTGTTTTTAATATTGGAAGAATTCACCTGAAAGTTCAATTTCTCTTGAAATACTGAGAGATTTGGCGAAATAGGTGTGTATTTTTTTACATGGCAGTAGTTAGCTGCTTACCCCTCGAAATGAATCATAAACTTTGTAGATTTCCATAAATCCTTTTCCTTCTGGGTAGGATAGAGATACCTTTTGACCATAAAGTAATAAAATGGCCATTTACTTTTTTCTTCCCCCATTCTTCTGACCTTGTTTTTAAAAGGGGGAAAAAGGAGAAAACAGTTTTCTGTCATCTTTTTCACCAACCTTTCCTGGCAAGTTTACCCTGGCGATCTTGAACATTTGCCCCATTTATGCCAGTGGTGGCCCTTTCCAGAGGAAGAGGAGGAACCGCTTTGCCCCAGAGGCTTGAGAAGGGAGACTCCTGATGTGTCTTCCCCTGGGGAGTGGAGCTGGGGTGCGACCACAGGCACAGAGCTTGCAGGCCCCTGCCCATCACCGGTTGGTCTCCTTTGCAGAGTGTCAACCAACCCCGAACCTTTCGGGATTCAGTGACGTGCTGTTTGAAATCCATGGAGGATGATCACTCCATGCTTCATTCTTCTGGCTCCCACGACCAAGTTAAACGCAGCTGCATATTGCTTACGTAACTGTGGTTGGTTGAGATGGGGTTTGATCACATGGGACTTGTGCTGTCCTCCTCAGCCTTCTCTGTTCAGGCCTGTGTTTCTGCATGTGCCCCAGACCTCTGTGAGGCGGAGTCGGTTGGATCATGTCAGTACACGGGGATTTAGGGCTTATTTATAGATGTTCACTTGGCAGGATTATATCTTAATGTATGCGTTTAGAATAATGAGTCTGGGAACAGTTACGTTTTGTCAGGTCACTGTCTTTTTGTGACTCTGGATTTCTGTCTGTGACTGTAGGTCCGCGGTGGAGCTCTTTGAGGCTTACAGCATGGCAGCAATGGCGTTCAATCCTCCTGTTGAAACTGCAAGCCCCCAAAAGAAGGTATGTCATACCTTTTCATTATTTTTAAGGTGAAATTAAAATTAAATTAATAACTTTTTAATAGCTGATTCCAATTTGCCTGATTGTTTCAGAGGCAGAATTTTTTTTCATGTTCAGGAGTGATGGTAGGCTGGACCTCTGGGGCTGGAATTCTGTAGGTAGAGGCGGCTAGGAGACGGTGCCTTTCAGTGTGGGGACGTCTGGTACCCGACCTAGCAACGTGCGTTTCACATGTCGGTTTGCTGTCAGTGTTGCCGCTTGGCTTTTGCTGATAGCATAAGAAATGTCAACTCACACTTTTAATATTTTTTCAGGATAAAGTTTTGCAAGGGGATTCATTTTTGAATGAAGATTTAAATCAACTAACCAAAAGACTTTGCAATGAAGTTGCTACTCATCTGCCTCTGGATTTCACCAAATATTTGAAGCCGTCACTGCGGTAGTAGAAGAAGGAAGAGTCAGTGGACATCCCCGTACGTTAGTGCATTTGTGCAGGTGCACATAACACTAATGGTTCACTTAGGACCTTCTCTTTTTATACAAGGGAAATGTCCTGAGAAAATTAACAGAGGAGGAATTACCCTTTGCATGGCACAGCATTCTTCCCTAATTCTGAAAATGTCCTTTCGTTCAGAAGGGAGAACCAAAGGCGTTTTCCTCCCCTTATATTTGTAAACTTCTTTCTTAATGTGTTGCCTTTTTAAAATTTAATATATATATTAACTGATTTAGCCTCTGAAAAAGAAGAATGAGTGTTCATTATGGCTACCTTCAAAGAAAGTTTGTCTGTGATTCTAGTGTCTTCGAAGTTCTTTGTGTTTGCTGACATGCTCTGGGGGTTGATGCGGGAACTGCAGGGCAGAGAAACCTGCCCCCGGTCTCACAGTTCTGTCTTAGGGACAGAGGGTACCCAGTGGGGGGCTTTTTTTTTCCTGTACAGGTAAAATGCCATATTCTTGTAATTATAAAGCAATATTTGATGTAACATCTGTTGCCATATTCTAAGAATGGCCTATGAAGTAAGTATTTTAATGACCAGGTTATAAAAATTTCTCTTGTGAGTAGCAGAATAAAACAGCTGCTTTTTTCTGCTTCCTATTTTTGTAATGTGAGAATTGAAAAGAAAAATGCATAGCAGTCCAACTAAATAGCCCTGTTATTGGTTCAGAGCTAGAGAAGCCAGTGATTTTGGCCTAGTAGAGCTTAAAGCTCTTTTTTTTGTCTTGAAGTAAATGAAAATAGAAAGTTCCCTTATTATTCTAACAGAGTGGGGAATATCGGCTTTAATAGTGCATGTAATCTCTTCAGCAGATTCTTACACGTGCTTTAAAAAGTGTTTCTAAGACCAGTTTTTTTAGGCTTGATTATTTAATGATGAGAAATGTTATAAATATTTGTTCTTAACCCACCTTTTTGATATAAAACAAAGGTCAGGAATGTTAGGGATGGTCGGGATGACCAAAGGGCTTTCCTTGTCAGAGCGCGAGTCACCAGTATGTGCCACAAGTCACTTGTTTTCCAAACATACACAGATACATCTATAGTTCACTTTGGCAGTAGAAACTGTAGTTTAGAAGAAAAAGAAATTTTAAAATAGAAATTCATTAACCAATTCACACTTGCATTATGCTTTTTATTTTGCGTTTTTTTATATATTTTATTGATTATGCTATTACAGTTGTCCCATTTCCCCCCTTCACTCCCCTCCACCCTGTACACCCTCTCCCACCCACTTCCCCACCCTTTAGTTCATGTCCATGTGTCATACTTATATGTTCTTCAGCTTCTACATTTCTCATACTATTCTTACCCTCCCCCTATCTATTTCCTACCTACAATCTATGCTACTTATTCTCTGAACCTTTTCCCCCCTCTCCTCCTCCCACTCCCCTGTTGCTAACCCTCCATGTGATCTCCATTTCTGTGGTTCTGTTCCTGTTCTAGTTGTTTGCTTAGTTTCTTTTGGTTTTGCTTTAGGTGTGGTTGTTAATAATCGTGAGTTTGCTGTCCTTTTACTATACATGTTTTTTTTTTAATCTTCTTTTCTTAGATAAGTCCCTTTAACATTTCATAAAATAAGGGCTTGGTGATGATGAACTCCTTTAACTTGACCTTATCTGAGAAGCACTTTATCTGCCCTTCCATTCTAAATGAAAGCTTTGCTGGATAGAGTAATCTGGAATATAGGTCCTTGTCTTTCATGACTTGGAATACTTCTTTCCAGCCCCTTCTTGCCTATAAGGTCTCTCTTGAGAAATCAGCTGACAGTCTGATGGGAACTCCTTTGTAGGTGACTGTCCCCTTATCTCTTGCTGCTTCTAGGATTCTCTCCTTCATTTTTATCTTGGCTAATGTAATTATGATGTGCCTTGGTGTGTTTCTTCTTGGGTCCAACTTCTTTGGGACTCTCTGAGCTTCCTGGACTTCCTGGAAGTCTATTTTCTTTGCCAGATTGGGGAAGTTCTCCTTTATTATTTGTTCAAATATGTTTTCAATCTGTTGCTCTACCTCTTCCCCTTCTGGTACCCCTATAATTCGGATGTTGGAACATTTAAAGATGTCCTGGAGGTTCCTAAGCTTCTCCTCGTTTTTTTTTTGAATTCTTATTTCTCCATTCTTTCCTGTTTGGTTCTTTCTTCCTTCCTTCTGGTCCACTCTATTGTTTTGAGTCCCAGTTTCCTTTACCATCACTATTGGTTCCCTGTGCATTTTCCTTCATTTCTTTTGTGGTAACCTGCATTTGTTCATTTAATTTGCGCCCAAAATCAACCAATTCTGTGAGCTTCCTGATCACCAGTGTTTTGAACTGTGCATCTGATAGGTTAACTATCTCTTGGTTGCTCAAAAGGATGAGTTCTGGGGCACGGATTTATTTTTCTGTTTGAGCCATCTCTCTCTCTCTCTCTCTCTCTTTTTTTTTTTGGTCTGGTCGCTCCTGTTATGGTGAGGGGCGGAGCCTTAGGTGTTCACCAGGGCTGGGCACCCCAGTTGCTAGATTGTGACGTTCGTTATATGTGGGGGCGGGGGCGGGAGGGAACAATGGTGGTAGCTCCGTTCTCCGTGGGACCTCAGTCTCTTCTCTGGGATCCTGGGTTGCGCGCTCTACCCTGCTCCACAATCCCCGCCTCACTGGGTCCGCCAGCTGCCGCTTGCGTAGTCAGGGTCCACCCGCTGTGATCTTGCGCGCACCAGATGTTTTACGCACTCCCGGTTGCCTTATGCGCCCAGTTCTCCCTGTACTCTGCGTTGCACCCCGCGCCCGGCCGCTCCTCTCCGCCCCTCCTACCACTCTGGATAAACGGGTCTATTTCAACTTCTTGGCTGTCCGACTTCCATTCAGATACATTTTCTGTCAGTTCTGGGTGTTATTCTGCCTCTAAATTGTTGTTCCAATCTTGGTTGTGCGTGGAGGTACAGTGCGTCCACCTATGCCTCCATCTTGCTGGAAGTCCCCATTATGCTTTTAACCTTCTTGTTACACATATAGAGAATCACAGTGGGATCATAAAGTTATATATCTAGTTTTTGAACATCTTCTATGAATTTGAGCATTAATGTATATAGCCTCCTATTCATAAGTTTCATTTTCAGAATGGAGTAATTGTAGTCATTGGTAATGACACATACACACACACACACCCTGAGGCTACACTGAGCTACAGCCCTATTTTTTTTTTAACTAGACAAATACAGAGCACCCACGTGTGCTTAGCACTGTGCTAGGTAGGCACTTAAAAGTGAAGTGGGGTAATGATGGTGAGTAAGACACACAGCCTCAGTCTTCCATGGTCTTGAAAGTTGAGTCGGGTCATTCGCACACACTGAAAAAAATACAACACTACTTAACTCAGTGTCAGAGTGAGTTGTTTGGAGACCTGTGTCATCGGAAATAGAGGAGGTTTCAGAGGTCTGCTTGATGGCAGCCTTGAGCATAGTATGCTTTGGATCTAAGAGACGTCTGTGAATAGTTTGATAATCATGGAGATTCAGCAAATATTTGAAAAACATTCATTGCAGGTATTCCCGTGCCAGAGTACTGGGCCGCCGGTCAGGGACTGCTCTGAGGAAGCTGATGCATGGGGATGGCAGAGCGCGCACACGTGGTTAACAAGCACTGTGTCATGGAAATGTTGGCCCAAGTACGGGCTGTGTGTGAGAGGCCATCTCCCTTCTCTAGTAACTTTGGGAAGGGCCCAGGGCTCACCTCTTGCCTCACTGCTGATGTGACAAACAGCTGAAAGGAACCTGAGGTAGCCATCTAGAGAGCCCTCCCCCTCCAGGCTGCCTGTCACTCTGCCAAGTGTGAGATCAGACAGCAGCCAGGAAAACCTGTCCTCTTCTATGGGCGTGGGAGCCGAGCTGTGGGGCTTTGTGTTTTTAGAGTTAATTCAAGTTTACCAGACCAATATGCAAGCTCTGATTACTTTTCAGAATTAAACAAGGCCTTTGGGAGTCTGGGCAGAGGAGAGGAAGTTGACAGAGACTGAAAGGGAGAGAACAGAGCATGGGGAAGATGGCCATATAGGAGGCCCACTTTCATTAATGAGCCACCAGAGTTTTCAGAGTTATGGCAACGGGAAACTTTTGTATGAGAGCAAATTTGATTAAAAACAAGGCATGAGTAACTCACTTGTCAAGTGTAGGCCCCATGTTTACCCACAAAAGGAGAAATTATGAGTAACTAAGGATGACATGAAAAGGTGTTCCCCTGGGGGGATACTTCCTGCCCAAATAGTGTTACTTCCTACAGATTTGTTCAAACTTACTCCCAATTCCTTACCACCCTTGCATAATTTTCCATTTTGCAAAACAGCCAATTTCAGACGCACAGGTGACTGAGGAGGTTAATCTGTTTCTCTAGCATCAGAGCACGGTGGGTTTCTGCTTGAATCCTTTCTCACCAGTGACAGCTTTTCTTCAGTTGGCATTGCCTAACTAAGACTGAATTCATGCTCTTTTCCTTTTGTTTTTAGTGAAACCACTTAAAATATTTCTCCCTCAAATCTTATAATAAACCCAGGTTGCATATTTAGATTTTTTTTCATATCAGCTTGACTGGTAAGTGTGCTACCCAGATTTTTAGTAGTCTGAAAAGTATGAAGTGGTAATCGTTATAGTCTGGGTGGCTATTATAGACACATTCTAAACAACAGGATAGTTTCATTTGGTATACTAATACAGCTATAGAGTTTAGATAAGCCATAAATAAAAATCTCATGTTTTTGGCAAATACCAGGTTTCTTTCTGCTGGTTGGTTGTAATAGTAGAGTAGACCTTTTACATTTCGAGCAACATGTTCTTTCTAAAATCCCAGTGACTCAAATACAATTAGAGATGTACAAATGGGATGAATGACCAAGTTGAGTTGCAACACATGCCATATACTCACTTGGTACAACCTGGTCTCACATTCAGTCTCATGGAGTGCTTTAGATTTTGTGCTGCAGCCAAATCAACTGTGTAAAAAAGGCGGTGGGGTGGGGTGGGGTGGGGTGCAGTTTAAAGAGTCAAGGCCAAATGATAAACCTAGGGAGGCCAGTTTTGCTTTTCCTTTTATTACTCTGCAGTTTTTATTCAACTATAGCCAGTTAGGCCAGAAACTCAGTATTCAATTCGTGGTTAGCCAAATCAGAGGGGGGTAAATGCCTATTAATTTATAGAAGCTTGATAAAGTATTTCTGGAATATATTTTTTTACAAATGGACAGCATTGTGCATTTGTTATAGGCTGATTATTTGGTTTGAAAAGAAACCTGTAGCTCCGTACAAACATCAAACTAGAATAGCCTGGTTCTGCTGAGAGACCAAACGGAGGTTCTTGCCGCATGAGGGCTTCGGGTCAGTCAGAACTTACGATAACGTGAAAGCTGTGTGGCCTATTTTTAACACTTCTGTTTCTGGAATATGTGGAAGACTTGGGGTTGCTTTATTCTGTTTTATAATAGGTAAAAATAAAAAACCCACAACTTCCAAAACAGTTTAGGATTTTTAGTATGTTTTATAATTTTAAGAAGAAATGTCTGTTTTAGTATCAATAGATAAAATTTGAATTTTACTTTAGAGGAACACACATTTCACTTTAAAAGTTGTAATTTGCTTCTTACACAGAATAAGAAGAATCCTTTACACGTACGTGATAGTTTTACACAGCAAGGTTTTAAAAATAATTTACCTTAAGTAGCAAGTATGACTTGGATCAATAGCTCTTAAGTTAATCAGAAAGGAAAATGAAGCTTTTACACGAAATTCTGGTCCACTTCAGATATTCAGAGCATACATTTTCTTTTTAGATTTGTCTTCAAATAGTGAGAATCACTAGCGCTTCTAATTCACAAGTGATATCAAGAAAGCTATGTATAATAAATATATAAGTACAGTGTCAGTACAAACCTTGCAAAATAAATAAATTTAAACACCAACTCAATCTACTTTTGCTTTAAAAAATGGTTAAGTTTCTTGTTAAGACATCACAACTCATAGATATTAAATTACACATCATTCTAAATCAAGTTTGTGAAAACCAAAAGTGGAATAATCTGTGAATATATAGG